TTAAATATATTTATATGTTGGTAATTTTTTTTCCCCTTAATTCATTAAATGCTAGTGAAATGGAGGCAAACAGTAGTCTGTAGCTAAGCTAATTATGCTAAACGGTTGATCATCTTACACAATAAGATAATCTACCCACCTCTCTTGGAGAAAAACTGGGTTATAAATTAACACTCTTGCCTTTTTCTCTCTCTCCCTCTCTCTATTTTGTTTTTGAAAACCTGATTTTATAACTTTTCTTAGCAGCATAGTAACTGCCATAGTCGCCGCTGCATTCAGCTGCAGCTCTACTGACTGTAGCTGCATACATCACTGTTAAGCTCCAAGCAGGAACGAACCATTTCATGCAGATTCAGGGGGGAGTTCAGGGCAAAAACGGATGTGTTTTTTTGGTCTGGCAGGGGTAACATTAAGCTTTTACTGCTATAAACAGTCTTTGAAAATACAATATGATTAATTTTGTATTTGACAGGACTCCGTTTTTTATTATTATTATTATTATTATTTTATGTCTATGAACAAAATATAAATAATTAAATTGTGGAAAGCCCCCTGCTGGTCAGGGCCCCTAGAATCGTCATCACTTTCAACCCCTATATCGCACCCCTGCTGGGGAGACAAAGCATCAATATATAAAACAACCATGCATACACACTCACACCTAGGGGCAATTTGGAGAGGCCAATTAACCAGACAGTCATGTTTTTTTAGGTATTCCGGAGGAAACTGGAATACCTGGAGAAAACCCACGCATGCACAGGGAGAACATGCAAACTCCATGCAGAAAGAAAGACTGGGGTTGGGAATTGAACCTAGAACCTTCTTGCTGCAAGGCAACAGCTCTACCAACTGTGCCACTGTGCAGCCCATATATAAATGAAAAACACATAAATCTATACTTAGCACATCATTAGCAGTTTTCGCTGAATCAATAACTACCTGCAGTACCAATGTGTGTCCTTACAGAGCTTTGTTGGAGGCTTTAACCACTGGCAGCAGCCTCAGAAGAGCCTCCTCTGAAGCAGAGTATTTCTTCAGGTCAAACACATCCAGATCTTTTCCTGATGACACTAAGATGAAACCCAGAGCTGACCACTGAGCAGGAGACAGTTTATCTGTAGAGAAAGTTCTCCATCTCAGAGACTGTTGGATCTTCTCCACTAGAGAACGATCATTCAGTTCATTCAGACAGTGGAACAGATTGATGCTTTTCTCTGGAGACACTTTCTTACTGATCTTTTCCTGGATGTACTGAACTGTTTCCTGATTGGTCTGTGAGCTACTTCCTGTCTG